TTTTTAAAAAATCAAAAAAATAGATAAACCATTGGTTAATATGATTCAAAAAAGAGAAAAGAAAATCAAATCACTAGTATTAAAAATGAAAAGGGTAGGGGCAGTTAGGTGGTGCAGTAGATAGAGCACTGGTTCTGGAGTCAGGACGACTTGCGTTCAAATCCAACCTCACACAAAGAACACTCACTAGCTGTGTGACTCTGGGCAAGTCATTTAACCCCAATTGTCTCACTAAAAAAAAAAATGAAAAAGGTGAATATTCAATTAATGAAGATGAAATTAAAGCAATTATAAGGAGTTATTTTGCCCAATTATATGTCAATAAATTGATCAATATAAGTGAAATGGAATGATGGTGATGGAGTACTATTGAACTATAAGAAATGATGAGCTAATTGATTTTAGAAAAATACAAAAAGACTTGTATGAAATAATGAAGAGTGAAAATGAGCAGAACCAAGAGAATGCTATATACAATAACAGCAATATTGTTCTAAGAACAACTTTGAATGACTAAGTAACTTTAAGTATTATAAATACTCAGATCAGCAACAAGGGACCTGTGAAGGAAGATGCTATCCATATCTGAGAAAAAACCGATACATAGATATATAGCATGATTTTACATATATGCACATGTTTGTATCTAAAGGTAACTTTCTCTAGGGCAGGGGAAAAAGGGAAGGAGAAAAAATAAAAACTGCAGAGCAGAGAACAAAAGAAAACTTAGAAGGAAGGACAGAAAAGCAGGGTAGCTTTGAAAATGATGTGTAGTATTTATTATATAATTAAAAAAGTAAACAGTGTGAAATGGAAATTCATGGTTTTATATTGGATCCTTATTTAATGTTGTGCTGTGTATATGGAAATATTCTTCTTTTGTCTTCTTGTATTTAAGTTCAAAATGAATAACAAAAAAGGAAAAATATTGTGCCATCTTTGTTATTGTACTAGAGAATGCTGGCTCCCATCTTTAGTAAAACTGGCTAGCCCAGCTCTAACATAATTTATCCTTCATCATCAATTGGTGTCCAAAAACCACTTCAGGCAATTTGTCCTTATCTCTCAGCAGTAGCTTATTTCTTTAGTTACAGAGAGACCAGCCTGTTTGATAGTTTTTGGAGCTAATAAAAGGAGAAGGTCTTAATTTGCCTCTAACTTTCCCTCTTGGCTAAAAAGGTTCCATCTTTTTTCCTAGCTCCTGGTTAAAACTTTCTCCTTTCAGCACAAAGGATTCATCTGCTCAGCTGACTCTCTGGATCTTTTTCTGTAATGAAAATAAGACATGAAGGAAGACTTGGGATTACTTTCCCTTTATTTCTGAGAGCTTCAAACCTAATATTTAGAGTTCTTCAGATTGGTCACTTTTTTTTTAAATGTTGTTTTTGTTTCAGTGGAAAGAGCATTGACTAAAGTCAGAGGTCTTTGGGTCCAAATCCCACCTCTGAAACTCATTACCTGTTGTTCTTGTATGATAATTTTGCCATCACTTATTAGTGATCCAAAGCATGTGTTCATTTTGGGGTACACTGGCTTGAAATCCAAATCAGGGGTTTACTCTCTCACAAATGATCCTCTTCCTCTCTCTTCCTCCCTCTCTCCCTCCCTCTCTCTCTCTCTCTCTCTCTCTCTCTCTCTCGCCACATGCTCCCTTTCTCTCCCATACTTCCCCCTCAGTCCTCACTTCATTTCCTTCCCCTCTCCTTTTCTTGTTCTCTTTGCTTATCACCTCCAGAATACTTTATTTCCCAGACATTTTGGAGCCATGCTTGCTCTTCGCATTTTCTTGTCTCCTTCCTTTTATTCCATAAAATTGTATTTAAACCAAACCTTTGACCTAGCTAAAGGCCTTTGCCTCCTGTGGGAAGCAGGAGCCACTTAGCTCCCTTAGAGAAACAGGGCCTGCAGCCTACAGTCTATCTCCCACATGGAGTAGAGTGCACTGGGGCTGTGCCTCATGGGGAGCAGGCCCCCTTGGGTACATCACCCCAATAAATGCCTTTCTTTAACTTGGAGACTGTCCAAGTGAATTCTTTCAGGACACTAGGACCCACACATCTATTCATCATTTCAGGTAGTACCCCAACATTCTTGGGGTCCACCGTGAACTCATCACCAATGGTTACAGAGGTCTAAGTGAATTCTTTCACACCTGAACCAACTCTCCCAACTCTAATCTCAACAATATCATTAAAATAGGTTTAAGGGTGAAACACAAGTACTATAGAAATGAAATATTTAGGGCTTATGCCCACGTATCACACTGCTGCCACCATAGCTTACACTCCAAGGTTTTCTTTAGGCATGTGATTTATAAGAACAAGGACTATCATATCATGTCTGCTTTTCTAATAATTCTTTATTAAGAAAACAGTACTTCTTCCCTAAAAGCAAACAAATTTATGAATGTAATGGAATGCTTCTGTGCCATAAGAAATAATGAAAGGGGTAACTTCAGAGAAACCTGAGAAGTCTTGTATGAATTGATGCAGAGCAAAGTGAGCAGAAGCATAAGAACAATTTATACAGTAACAAAAACATTGTAAAAACAATTTTGAAAGACCTAAGAACTCTAATCAATGCATGACTAACTATGATTCCAGAAGAAGAATGCTCACTGCCTGAAAAAGAGACAATGGACTCAGGATACAGAATGAGATATCTTTTTGGACATGGACAATGGGGGAATTTGTCTTGCGCATTTGTTACAAAGGTTTTCTTTCTTTCATTTTCTTTCTCTGTAGAGGAGGGGGTTTGAGAGAGAGAAATTAAATGCTTATTAATTTAAAAAGATAACAATTTTAAAATCAACATGTCAGTCAGAGCAAGGATTAAAAGAAATACAAACTCTTAAGTGCAGGTTTAGTATTCCTGTCAATATCTGTTATAAATCGTACTTATCTAAACATTCACTTTCCTTTGGACCCAGAAGAAGGCCATTATATTATTTTCCTGTTCTGCGTTGCTTTAGAATCTTTTTACAATGCCTGGTAAGGTCTGTTCTGATCTGTGCTACTCTGCTGGTTGTTGCTGTGCAAAGGAAAGGTAATAATTACTCCAAAGACACCTTCCTCTTACTCTGGGAACATGAACTAGTGTGAATTTCTTTCCATCACAGACAACCTTGACCTTTCTCCTCAACCTCAGACCCCCTGTACTTGTTATCTCTCCACTGTCTTTCTGAATTCCTTTTTCAAAATGGTGGCATTTTTCTCCCAGTTATCTAACTCACTCACCCAGAGTCTCTTTCTCTAAATGAATGGTTCCTTCATTTCATAACATGATTTCTTAAAGAAATTCCTTCTCCTGGAACCCTCCAAATATTTCAAACCATTAAAGAAAGCAAAACATGTTTTAAACAAGGCAATGCAGACTACTTTGTACCTTAAATGCATGCCTTTAAAGAAGTTGATGCTGGTAAGTAGCTCAGCGAGAATTACTGTCTTGTCTCATACCCTTCACTCAGATCTAATCTTTGATTCAGAGCTTATATGGAGGGGAAGAAGTGCTTCTCACCACTGATGACTGGGGTCTTTTGATCATATATTCTTTTTTTTAATGTTTTATTATTTTTATTTCTATTTTTTTTAGGCAATTGGGGTTAAGTGACTTGCCCAGGGTCACACAGCTAGTAAGTGTCAAGTGTTTGGTCTGAGGCCAGATTTGAACTCAGGTCCTCCTGACTTCAGGAGGGTGCTCTTTCCACTGCGCCACCTAGCTGCCCCTTGATCATATATGCTTGATAAATTGTTGCAATGAACTCAAAATGAGAAAACATCAAAGAAGTTTAGAAGCTGTTGTGTTTTGATAGCGCCAGAACAATTACATATATCTTGAGATGGAGAGAAAAAATATTTAAGTTCCTGCCTCACGAAAACTTCGTGGAAAGAAAACATTCCTGCTATAATGTGTATACATCCCAAAATACCAAATGTCAACAATGTTTTTGACATGATGTTTTTTCACCTTTCCTTGGTATTTTATAGGATTAAGCCAAGGTGAGTTGTGGGAAATCTGTGAAGTAGCCCCTGAGCCTGATTTTAGAACCTGAAGCAAAAGAGGGCAAGAACATCTTGTGGGAAAAAGAGAATTCTGATTCTCCACAGCTTAGGTTCTTTTCTTCCACTATTTCAAATTCCACCATTCATGCCCTTTTCATGCCTTTCCCTGATCTATGCTATTCCAAAAGAGAACTGAGATGAAGGGCAAGTTATGGCAAATTTGTCTTAGAAGGGGAGTTGAAATATGATCCTGTGAAATCATAGGATTATAGTTGTAGAGTTACAAGAGGTCTCATATGCCATCCAATCCACCCCTCCTCCCTCATTTTACAAACAGGGATACTTTGGCACAGAGAGTTTACATGACTTGCCCAGGGTCATAGATGTTGTAAGTATCGAAGGTAGGATCTGAACTCAGGTCCTCTGTCTCCACAGCAGTTATTCTGGATAAAGCACTGAACTTGGAATAAGAAAGTCCTAAATTTGAATTGGGACTGAGGTACTTATAAACTGTGTGACCTTGAGCAAATCACATAACCTCTTTCAACCTTTGGGATAATGATAGCACCAATTCACAGGGTCTTTGTGAAGATCATATCTATCTCTATATCTCTATATATCATATATATCTAAATCTATATATTGCTATATAAATATATCTTTATATATATAATTTTATAAAACTTAATAACCATTAACAAATCCAGAGTTTTCTTTCTCATACAATTTTTGTGAGGATCAAGTAAGATATGACATGTAAAACACTTTGCAAACCTTAAAGGGCTATATAAATTTTAATCATCATCATCATCATTATTTACCATTAACAAACCCAAAGATTTCTCTCTTATGCAGCCTAGGCAACAAACTCAAATGTTCCAACACCAAGGAGAAAATGGTTCATTCATCATCAATTCTTAAAAATGATTACCAGTTCTTATCCAGTCCCCTAAAAGCGTAAGATCACAGAAAGAGGTTGGATCATGAAGTCCTCCTTACCTGTATCTTTGTTTTAAAGACTGTTTCTCTGTGGATTTGCAAACATGTCCAGCGTAGTACAAAGGAAAGAATAAAAAGTTCCAGTTGGTGGCAAACCATGTCAGGGTAAAAGGGGCATCAAATTTCTTGAAGGTCAGCTTGGCAAGTTGTGTGGACCCTGCCCATGAGGAACAGATGCACAAAACCACTGCCACACCCCAGAAAAACTTCTTGAGCTGCTCTCTGGAGCATTTCCAACAGCAATGGCCGGCTCTCCCTCCAGCCTCCACACCAGCTGGCATTTGGGTTTCTGTTGGGGCTGGAGAGTCCCGAGGGCGCTCATCCCCTGGAAAGAAAAAAAAGGAGGGGAAGGTTAACAGTGATTCATAGATTGCACCTGAGGGCCTCTCTCAAGATTTTCTATCTCCACTACTGGCTGGGGGCTGGGCAATTGCCTGAAGCCAGAATTATTTTTTAAATGCAGTTTAAGAGGGTGCTGGTTAGGGCTCCCGTGAAAACAACAGAAGCACCTGGCCAATGGCACTCTGCAGTACTTAGGGAGAAGTAGAATACATATTCCTCTAGCTTCAGAACTCACACATTTAGCTATCAATGTGTTGACTCATGTACCTTCATGTATATGTTATTTAAGGGAGCTTCAATAAAGATCCACATTTTGCTTTATGCCTAAATAGCAAAAAAAAACACCCCAAAACAAAAACAAAAAAAACCAGTCATCCTTTTCAGTTGACCTAAAAAGTCTCCTATACAAACAGGTCCCCAGAAACTCCCCTCCCTGAATCTCTTCTTAAAAACCACAGTTTTATACAACCAGCTCAGTTTTATTATTTTTTTTGTGAGGCAACTGGGGGTTAGGTGATTTGCCCAGGGTCACACAGCTAGTAAGTGTCAAGTGTTTGGTCTGAGACCAGATTTGAACTCAGGTCCTCCTGACTCCAGGGCCAGTGCTCTATCCACTGTGCCACCTAGCTGCCCTCCAGTTTTTCTTTTTAGAGAAAAAGTCTTAACCTTTTTGTGTGTAATGTATCCCTTTGGCAGTCTGGGGAAACCTATGGACCCCTTTTTAGAATAATGTTTTTGAATTGATAAAATAAAATATTTTGTTGTTGTTAAGTTGTTTTCAGTTGTCTGACTTTGTGACCCCATTTGGGGTTTTCTTGGCAAAGATACTAGAGTGGTTTGATATTTCCTCCTCCAGCTCACTTTACAGAAGAGGAAACTGAGATAAGGAGGGTGAAGTGACTTGCCCAGAGTCACACAGCTAGTAAGTGTCTAAGGCCAGATTTAAACTCAGGGAGATGAATGTTCCTAACTCCAGGTCTGGCACTCTATCCCCTGTGCCACCTGACTGCCCCAAATAAAATATATAGGATTACAAATAAAACCTATTATATTGAAATAAAGGTGCAATTTTTCCCCATCCAAGTTCATAGACCCTCTGAAAACTATTCATGAAACCCTTGGGTTAAGAACTACTGTATACAGGGATTCTTGCCTCTAGGAATGAAGATAACCATTAATCCATGGGGCCAGGCTTGCTCCCAAAACTTGGCATTGATTTATGAGCTGCTCACTCAGGTCACAGGGAGGTGGAAACTTGAACAATTTCTCTATTATTACTTTTCATGCATGTTTATACGTGTGATCTGCAAGCTGGGGATTTAAATAGAGCTATTGCTTTATGCATGGTGGAATTCTTCATTCATCATATCTTCCAGTGTCCCAAATTAATAACCTAAGAATTGTCCTGGAAAAAGCTTTTCTTTCCCTCCCCCAAAATATCTATTCCATTGACAAAACCTGACATTTTAACCTCCACATCAATTCCTTTCTGACCTCTTTTTTCCACTCACACAGCTAACACTTTACTTCAGTTTCTCATCCTTTCTTGATGATTATTGCAACAGTTGTTTAATTGGCCTCCCCCTCCCCCCCAAGTCTCTCCCCACTCCAGTTCATCCTACACACTGCTGCCAAAGTGATTTTCCTTAAGTATACAGTCAACAATGTTAATTTCCCTACTCAGTAAACTCTAGTGGTTCCCCATTGCCTCTAGAACAAAATATAAAAATACTCCTGCTTAGCTTTACAGCTTGGCCACAAATGATATTTTCAGTCATATTTGATATCTCCCATCCCCTATCATAGAGCTAAATTGGCTTTCTCCCTATTCCTCACCCAGGATACTCCGTTTCAATACTTGGCAGAGAATCTGGCACATAGTAGGCACTTAATAAATGTTTACTCGTTAATTGATGACTCTTTGCCTTTACACTAGCCATCTCACATACCTAAAATGTACTTTCTTTTGCTGTCTGAGTTTTCTCTCTTTAAGATGCAATTCTAACACCATCTTCTTCATGAAGTATTTCCTGATTTGCTCATGTTATTGCCCTCCCTCACAAACTATTATGTATTCAACTACTTTGTATATATTTGAATTTATTTGTTTTTATGTCGTATGTATTTTTATATGTTGTTGTCTCTTCCCACTTGAATAGATACATACATACATATATATATATACATATATATATGCCTTGTAAGTAAGGATTATTTCATTCTTTGTGCTTGTATCATCTTTTATTCGTAGCGCTGTGGCTAGCAGGTAGCAGGCACTTTATCAGTGTTTATTGATTGATAGAATGAATTCAATTCAACAATCAATCATTAAATGTGTATTATATGCTACTCACTGTGCTAGGTGCTGAGAGTACAAAGGTTAAAAGATAATGAAATGGCCCCTCTCCTCAAGGAACTTATATTCTACTCAGAGAAAACCAAATGTACAAAAATAAGTCAATACAAAATATGTGCAAAATAAACACAAAATAAATTTGGGGAATTGGGAACATTAACAACTGGGAGAATCAAAAAGTACCTCTTGAGCTGAGCTTTGAAAAGTAACTAGGGATTGTTATAGGTGTCAAGACAACTTGGGCAAGTCATTTAGCCTTATCCTACCTCAGTTTCCTAAACTGTAAAATGGGGATAAATATGGCACCTATGTCCCAGGGTTGTTGTGAGGATGAAATGAGTTAATATTTGTAAATCACTTTGCTAACCTTAAAGCAAATGCTAGCTATTATTATAATATTCATATTCAAAACTTTGTGGAGTAGTTGAAAGAGCACTGGGTTCAAATTCTGATTTATCCACTTTAAGCCGGTGAAACCTTAGGCAAGTTATTTAACCTCTCTGGACTGGAATTTGCTCACCTGGAAAATGAACAGGTTTTACTTAATGAGTTCTAAGGTCCTATATTCACAGGTAAGTGGGATAGTGGATAGAGTGTTGGGTCTGAAGTTAGGAAGACTCATCTTCCTGAGTTCAAATCTGGCCTCAGACACTTATTAGCTATGTGATCTTGGGCAAATCACTTAACCCTGTTTATCTCAGTTTCCATATCTGTAAAATGAAGTAGAGAAGGAAATGGCAAATCACTTCAGCATCTTTGTTAAGAAAACCCCAAATGGGGTTACAGAGAGTTGGACATGACCAAAAAACAGCTAAACAAAAAAGATCCCATATGTATCAGATTTCATTGTATGGAATTGGCTCACTTGATGGGGGGCACTAGCTATATTCATACAAATACGGTAAGCATTCTACTTCTAGTAAAGCATCAAGTGAAAAACATAAGCATCAAAATTCAGTTTTACAAATCCTGTTTTCAGGATTACTTGCATTACTGTATTCTTTGTAGAGGGTTGATCAATTTCTTTGCTTGCAGGCTAAATGCCCTTCCAAATCCACCTGTTTAGCTTTAGGGAAGGGCTGAGAAAGAGCAGTATTGCGAACAATTCAGGTTGGCATTTCATACCAAACCGAGAAATGAACTGCCTATTGTAACATGGAGTAGATGATAGGCTAAGGAAACAATAAATTGCATTTTAGGTCCCCCTGAGTTATACCTTCACTGTATAGGATTTGTTCATTGCCTTGAAACAAATGACCAGATTCTAAGGCACAGCTACTTTCAGCTGTAAAGTTAAAATACAGTACAATTTATACATGAATTTTCTAATTTTGGATTATCCAGTCTCTACTCCCCTTGGTGTATATAAATAAAAGTGTTGTGATTTAGTTGGATTAAAAACAACTTTTGTTATTGTTGTGCATAGGGGAAAGTGGGTATTTTTACACTGCCAGTGTTGTTAAAAATCCATATCTGAGCCGTAACTGGAGGGAGCAAAAATCAATGTACAAATGAAAGAGTATTTTACGGTACAAGCATGTATAAGTACGCATTTTTGCTGAGCTTGAATAACTCTGTGGCTAGAGTAAGTGTGTTTCTTGGTTTAGTTGCCTTACATTTTAAGAAGTAAAATGCATGGACAATTTCTATTATGGTCTAATAAATTTATAAAAACAGAACTGATTGATTCTGTGGAGGCATCTAAATGAAGGCAATGGGCATTAAATAATTTAATTTGCTGTTACTAAAATGTTTGGATTGAAGAAGTTATTCACTAGTGTGCATTTTTCTGGACCATTTTGCCAAAAAGAAATATTAAAAATACACAAATGTGAAATGTAAAGGCATTCAAAGCTAAAATGAACACTCTATCCTTTTAAAATAATAATTAGTGGGTAGAATAGATACTCATGGAAAGAGTCAAAGGAAAACAAGCAAGTACAGCCCACCCCAAACCATCCTCCAGTGATAGAACTTAACTCTAGTCCTAGGTACTCATTATCAGATTTATAGATGAAAGGAAGTTGGAAGCAGTAACCAAAATTCTGGATGAGAAAATAGAAGTTTTGTTCAGTTGTGGATAGCACATCTTTGGAAGGATAATAACAAGTTGGAGAGCATCCAGGGGAGGGTGACCAGAATGTTAAAGGGCATGAAGATAATTTCATATTAGGAGCAGTCAAAGGAAAAGAAAAAAATGGGGATGTTTATCCTAGAGAACATGCCTTCAGGTCCAGGTGGGGAGATTATAGCTATCTTCATGTAATTGGTAGATATTAAAAAGAGGAGGATGTTAAAGAGATTTGGACTCAGTTTAATAGAAAACTATACTATAAATTATATTGTTGTTTGTCCTTCATTTTTAAAGAGGACCATGGCATCAGGAAGGTGATGCCATGACTTGCAAGAAAATTGAATTTAAGCAAGGCAGGGCTGTGCAAAGTCACCAGCCTCACTTTCTCCTCCAGAGCCATCTGGGCCCAGTGGCAAGATATAGATCAGGATGACTAGAGATGGCCCAGAATGCAGTGGGTGACCTTGGCCTTTTAAAGCTAAAGTCTTTCCCAGTTCTCCAGTTTGACTGAGGTAACACCCATTCAGTAATTAAGGCTAGGTAAGAAATGAGG